TATATATATATATATATATATATATTGTTCATAGTATATGTTAGGCACAAGTAGTCGTATAATTTTCCTTCGCTTGAGAAATGATGTTAGGATTTCCACTATTTCATCTCACTAATTTGCTTGGGAGTATGAAGAGAGAAACTGTAGTCGTTCATATTTGTTGCGCGCATTATTAATTTGGTGCTCCGAACATGACCAAAGTTTAGTGTGTGGCTAGACTTATTTCCCTTCTATTTGTTGTCTTTATGCACTGCATGAGTTGCTAATACAATATCAGCATCTTAATTATAACTTCCTTTTTCATCCAAAAAGCTAACTTCTTGTTTCTTTATGACTCTCTTTCACCTTTAAACATGATGATCGATAGACCTAATTTAGGGTTCTTTTAATTAAGAGGATTAGAAAGCTGGTGAAGGTGAAAAGTTACACACATATGCATATGTATATAGGGAAAAACAAAGTAGTAATTCCCTTAAAAAGATTAGTAGATACTCTTAAAAGCAAAATCAATAATGCAAGCGGTAAAATTTCTGGAATTGAGAAGAAAACAAATAATAGGACAAAATCTTGTAACGTCAGAAACATTGCCCCTCTGCCCTCCTCCTCATGTTGCCTTTTTGGTTTCATTTTGATGGGTTGGAGCTAGCTAGAAAGAGGTCCAATTTAAAAGATATCTTCTCATCCACATATCTCTCTCTCTCTCTCTTGTTGAACCTGTTTTCTACTTGTACGAATTGGGTTGTCTTTTGTTTTGGTATATTTGTACTCAAGTGTGTGGATTCTTGCGTTGAATCATCTTGGAGAGTTGGCTGGCTATACTTGTAAACCCTCTTGGAGAAGAAGTTTGCTAACTGTCAGGTTTGAGCTTTTCACTTTTAATTTCTAGTTACATCTCTCTAACTTATTCTTTGATTCATCAGCCTTTTTTAATCAAAACAAACTAAAAAGATGGTAAAAAAGCTCGCTCTTCTAATCATTTGTTCTTTTCTTCTTCTTCCTTTAGGGTTTCTTGTTTCTCAGATCTGTATGACATGGTTCTTGAGGATGCAAAAAGTTGAAAGTTGATCTGTCTCTCATCGGTTAAGCTTTATAATATAAAAAGAATTGAAGAAAGAAAAATCCAGTTCATTTAATAACTGAGATAGAGAGAGAAAGAAATGAAGGGCATCTTTTTGGATGACAATATGTCAAATTTAACATCTGCATCAAATGAAGCAAGCCTATCTTCGTCCAGCAACAGGAATGAAATTGGTACTATGTACCCTCCACCACAGATGCAGCAGTCCTTCGCTTCTGTGCCAATCAGTACTAACAACCAAACTCAATCAAACAAGAAAAAGAGGAATCTTCCAGGAAATCCAGGTAAATTAATTAGATACTTGATGCAAACTTTTTGTTAATTTCCTGTTTGAACCAGTTTTTGGATATACATACATTCATACACATACATATATTATAACTTTTGATTCTCTTTTTGATCTCTCTCTCAAGAGCGTTAGTTAACCTGATTTCTCTGTAGATCCATTTATCTGGGTTTCATTTTTCTTGGATTAAATACTGATACTATTTATTTTGGGAATGGAATAAAAAGACCCAGAAGCTGAAGTGATAGCTTTATCTCCAAAATCACTTATGGCAACAAACAGATTCCTGTGTGAGATTTGCAACAAAGGGTTTCAAAGAGACCAGAATCTTCAGTTGCACAGAAGAGGACATAATTTGCCTTGGAAACTCAAGCAAAAATCAAAACTGGAGGTAGTTAGGAAGAAAGTATATGTATGCCCGGAGCCGAGTTGTGTGCACCATGAGCCATCGCGAGCACTCGGAGATCTTACAGGTATCAAGAAACATTTCTCCAGAAAGCACGGTGAGAAAAAGTGGAAATGTGAGAAGTGTTCAAAACGTTATGCCGTTCAGTCTGATTGGAAAGCTCATTCCAAGATCTGTGGCACACGAGAATATCGATGCGATTGTGGTACCCTTTTTTCAAGGTAATACCAACGATTGATCACTCTATACTTGTGTAAATAAAAGCAAAGTTAAAATCAAATAAAATAAAACTTCAAGGAACTTCACATGTGTAACAGTAGAGGACATAAAGGATTAAACTTTATTCTAATCATGCTTCAATCTAAATTCAGTATTTCACTGTTATTTTCATGAAAAAACAAAAACTTAAGAGCTTCAAACTCAAAACCAGTTGATAACAAGGGTCATTATGTCCCACGATCATGATGTGGCACATCTTCTTGGGGGTGACAAGGGTACGAACATGTGAGATGTTGGGCATATATATATATATATATATATAGGTGAAATATATATAGAGGATGCCATGATATCATATTAAACACATTTGGTTCCAACACAAAACCAATTATTACTAATGAGTATTACCATCAACGTTGATTGTATGTATATATACATTCATTGTTGCCAACTATAATGTTCCATCTTACATGTATTTTTTGAAAATGTAATGATTGATTAATTAACACGGGTTAAATGTAAGATGTTTCATTCTTTTTGCAAGTGTTCTCATCTTTTTGTCTTCTGTCTCACTACAGGAGGGACAGCTTCATTACTCACCGAGCCTTCTGTGATGCCTTAGCTGAAGAAACTGCAAGATCATCATCCTCTTTAAACCACCTTCCTCTCCATTTACCCATCAATTTTCCACTGAAAACCGAACCACAACATCTCCTCCAACATCCACAACTTAGCTTCAACATTGGATCGAGTAGTCCACATCATAATCATCAATTACCATCATGGTTAGATCATCATCATCATCAACAGCAAAACCCTAGCCCTAATGGTCTCCATCTTCCTTCTCCTTCTTCTCACATGTCTGCCACTGCTTTGCTCCAAAAGGCAGCTCAGATGGGTGTAACCATGAGCAATCCTGCACCTCCTCCTTCTTCGGCTGTTGCTGCTGCTGCTGCCATTTCCATGTCACATGAACAGCAGTCCATTATTTTAAGTGGGTCCCACCAAACCCTTCAACGTGATCACATGTGTACACCTCTACTATCATCTCTTCATCATCATCATAATGCTTCTGCCCTAGGCAGTTTGTCTGCAAGTGATAACCATCATGGCTTGTTGGAAGCAAGCGGTGGGTTTGCTAATGTCGTCAGCACTGGTTGCATGGACCATCATGCTCACCCGCAGGTGCTTCATCCTAATTCTTTGACTTCTACTAGTCTAGGGCCAACTAATAATATCCATCAAGTCTTCAATGGCATGCTCAATTCTACTAAAAGAGATCATAATAGTTACCAAGAACAGCTTTTCCCACAAGCACCAGCTTCGGCCCAAACGCTTTTGAACACCAGAAAAGAAGGTGCCGTTGGGAACGATGAGTTGACGAGAGATTTCTTGGGTCTTAGAGGATTTCCAACTCCTACTGATCACCATTTCCTTAGCATGGCTGGTCTTGATCATATGGCCAATTCTTCACCCTATCATCAGCTGCATCCGAACCACAATCAAAACCAAATACCATGGCAAGGTTAGCTAGTTTGGATAGCTCAGAAGAACTGCCCATCTTTTATGGAGTACTTGTAGTTTACTTTCTGCTGCTCATTGCTTTTTAAACTTGTTTTTAGTGATGAACCCTGAGCCCAGTTTTCCATTTCGTTAGTTCCGGATTGGAGATTTCCGAAAGCTATGAATGCTTCGCGTATTTCAAGTATTACAGTTGTTTTACACTACGGATATCCTGACCACTTTATAAAAAATAAAAGAAATGAACAACCAAAAGGAAAAAAATTCTTTATGCTGTAAACCAAAACAAGGACAACCTACACAGAGTAAGTAATATCATTCAGAACCAGTTGATTATTCTTAGGTTTAAATCCAAAAATGTAAGATTTTTGTTTAACACTATACTCAATGATTCAAAACCCTACACTTGCAAAAGAGACCAGTTGAATTACATACGTTACTTTGTTTTTCCTTCTAATTGAAAACCCTAAAACGTAAGAAACAGACCAGTTGATCAATTACAAGATATACCATCCCACACAAAAGGGTACCACGAACCACTTTATTTTGATGGTCTCAGAAACTTGCAGAGAGGGAAAACAAGAACGTGTTTTCTGTAGAACTGTAAAACATTGGCTATTTTTGTTGCTACTTTGGTAACAGTCACATGGCAGAATCTTTTTTTCTAGGGAAAAGAGAACATGAAAATACCATATTATGTTTAAAAAATTTAATCTCATATTGGATATCTTTGACAATTGCGGAATGATTTCCTACTGAATGATTAAGTGGTAATAATGATTAAGTAGTAATAATGATTAAGAGGTTCTCATGATATAATGCAAAATGAAATATAATTGTTTGGTAATTGTGTACAATGAAATTAAGGCTCTTAATGGTCAATGGAGATTCATGATACAAAATCATTTAAAAGGTTTTAGAACCATTAAGAGGTAGACTTTTTTTTTTGTCAAACAAGATTCACCTCTTAACTGTTCAGAGGTTGCATCTTAATGGAATTATTAAGAGGTAAACAAACAACCCCTAAGGGGTGAGACGTACTCTATCTTTGAATATAATTAAAAAAATGTAATATAAATTTATAAAAATGTTAGAATAGATTGTCTTATAATACTTAAATTTATAGGATGAAAGTAATATATATTGAGAGAGAGAGAGGGGTGAGCTTTCGAGGATTGTTAAATATTTTAAGAATCCAAGAACCATTTTTTTTCTGAGTATTCATTATGAATATGTATTGATCATGAATATTAGTCATGACCCATTCCTCATGAATATTTTATCACGTTATTTATCATGAATACTCAAAAAAGGTCATTCCTGAGTTTCTAAAATATTTATCTTTCCTAAACGAACCTCCACACACTCTCTCTTTCTCTCTCTGTCTCTCTCTCTCTATATATGTATATATATAGGGGCCTAATCAAATGAGACTTATATAGTTTGTGGTAACTGTGAGGTCCAATATGAGCCAATCATTTTAGATAATTAATATTACTTACTAAAATAAACCAAAGGGTAAATTAGTAAATTGTGTTGATTATTCAACTTACTTTAATTAGTTTAATATTCCAATTTACTTTAATTAGTTCAATTAGTTTAATTATTTTAATATATGTATATATATACACACACAGGGACCAAATCCAGTGGCCTTCTCCGGCACCCACCACCACTTCGCTGACCTCCTTCGGTCATCTTGTCTGACCAAGACGCCATATCCGATGATCAACTACTAAACACCCACCTACGACAGTGGTACCACAGTTGGTACCACAGTGGTACCACAATTGCACAATTGATATCACAGTAGTCTAAAAGTTACCTGGTGTGTTTTGAGTAGCACATTGTGTATCTTGGTGTATTTTGGGTATCACATGGTCTTCGTTGGAGGCCGGAGGTAGAAGAGAAAGAGGGGGAAGAGATAAAAAATTTAAAATACCTAAAATGTCATTTAATTATAATTTTAAGTCAAATCACCAAAAATATTAGTTTTCTAATTTATCCATTATTTTGTGATTGAGATTGGATCTCAAAGTTATCACAAACTAATCAAATTTTCCTTGAATGGACCCTTATATATATAAACTTACTATAAAATGTTTATCCTATAAATTTAAGTATATAAGACAGTCTATAATAACATTGATACAGATTTAGCGTTCTATAAAGCTCATTTCATGTACTCTTATGTTTCATAGAATAAAAATTAAATACAATGGTCCATTTAAAAACAATGTTTGTTTCATTTTGATACACCTAAAAAATTGAAGCTTACTTTTATAAAGATGAATAGTAAAATACTCTCAAATGCCTTAGATAAATAAAATTGAGAAAATATTTATGGTTATGAGAGAAATATACAAGTTTTTTATGTATTTATTTAGTTAACTTAAAAAGAAAAGTTTTTTAGTGTTTAGAATGAAAAGATGATTAATTATAATGAATTGATTACATAATATTCGAAAACATTTTCTCTGTCTTTTAAGATTGAGAAATTTTTTATATCTTTTTTAAAACCTATTTTTAGATAAGATATGTTAGATTTGTTTAATTTGATATATATTTTAATGGGTATGATTCTTTATTTCTTTCTATTGAAACATGTTATTGAAATTTGAGCAATAACATGTTATTTTAATTGAAGCATTGTGCTTGTTACATTAACATAAATTTTATTATGACATAATGAGTACAACAACAATTAAGGGAATGGAAATAAAACTAAAATTGTTGGACTATGTTATGTTATTTACTCATTAAATATAGTATAGGGCTAGTTTTGTAATTTTAAGTGTTTTTAGTCTTAGCTATTATATAGTTTCTTTTTTTTTATTGCAAGTTCTTTTGTAAAGCTCAATATACTAGAAAACGCTGCCAAACGTTGTCTTGTGATTCTAATGAATTGTTAGTCATTCGTAACTCAAATCTCATATGGTATCAAACCATTAATTAGATGTTTATTATCTGTGTACTCACTCCTTTCTCATTCAATCTCCTAAAACATAATTATCAGTGATTCAACCTTGAACTTGAACTTTTTAACCGCCTCATGCGATTGTGCTTCGAGTTAGTTGATAGTAGTATCATCTTACACATTACCCTAATCATAATGTTGTCAACGCTAAAATTCTGAAGGCTGCATAAACAATATTGGTGAAATCCGTTTGTGGAAGTCTCTCGGTAAAACTTTCATGGGTAAAGCTATTGTCATTGATTCACTGATGGCTATCACCACTAGCCGATGAGACCTCAGTCACCAACAAATCACTGACCGCGAAGTTCACTAACGGATTACCGACAGTATCATCGATGGACTACCAAGGGAACTAATCACCGACGAAGCTAATCATCGATGGATTGTCGAGGGACCTTTACCGTTAGTTATATCTATCATCATTGACAGCATTTCGTCGATGATCCGTTGGTAATTCTGATTTATTTAAAAAAAATAGTTTAGAAATAAGGTATTTTCTTTATAAATATGAAACCTTCCACCGATGTTGGTTTTCCTTTAACTTCATCAACTTTTCTTGTAGCTCAAGTATATGCAAATATTCCATGTTTGACAAAAAAAAATCAGTAATTTTGTTCATGATCAAAAGTAATGACATTATATATATATATATATATATATACACACACACACCTAATAAATAAGTAATTTGGCTGCTACGTGTCGTCTTATTGTGCGACGGTTATAAGGATTTCCCGCCTAAACATGTATGTAGACACAATTTACATTACTGGTTCAAATGGGCCTATTAATTGACATATGTCCCTGTAAACTTAACTGATTTCCGTATGAAAAGGGATTTCTTTTCAAAGACTAACAACACAATTGAAGAATTCTTGTGCTTCAGAGTCGAGAGTTGTTTCCCAGCCTAACAACACAACTATGAATTCTTGTGCTTCAGAGTTAAAGTTCAGAGTTTCTTTGTAGGCTTGAGGACAAGTCTGAACTCATTTTCCTCAGTTAAAATTCAGAGTTGTCTGCCATACTTATAAGGCATACCAGTATAAAAGTATGAGGATAAGTCTAAACTTCTTTTCCTCGGTTGAAATACAGAGTTATCCAGACTTGTAAGACATACAAGTATGAAAGTCTGGGAAAATTAGAGTTGTAAGTCTGAATTTAACTCTAAAGTGGCCTCCAGACTTCTAAGTATGAATGTAGGAATTCAAATGAAGTCTGACATGTGAAGTCTGAAAGTCAAGTGTAATTCAGACTTGTAAGTATGAGTTTAGGAATTCAAACGAAGTCTGAGCTGTGAAGTGTTAGAATTTCTGGTTTTCGATGGCTTGGAATCCACTAAAAGTCGTGTATCACTTTCAGATTGAAGTATTTCGATGGCACAATCAAAATTTCAATCGGATAAAATTCAGTGGTTTTTCCCGAATAAAGAGTTTCCCCGTATTATCAAATTTGTGTTCCGAAAATCCAATGACCAAATCATAGCTTTTTTCTCAAACGGTCGAAAATTGCCATACGACAGTTAAAAAACCGGGTTTTCAAAACAGAGTCAAAACCGGGTTTAAAATTTCAAATTCGAATTCGACGCCAGCCAGGGGTTCTCCCCCTTGGACCCCGCCACCAGGGGCGCTACCCCTAAACCCCCGTCGTTTAAATCAAAATAAACTCAAACAAGTGTGCACTCTACACCATTCTTACTTGTTCGATATTTATCATGATTACATTGGTCAACAAATTAACCCATTATACTTAAATGACATTAGTGATACAAATCACCAACATGAAGTCATATGATATTGGTTATTTTTCAGACTTACAACATAACTCTGAATTGTTCTGTTCCAGACTTAGTTTCATAGTTTATTCCCAGACTTAAAATACAACTCTGAACTCCTCTTAAGAGTTGAAGTTCAGAGTTACGTTTCTGAGTTATAAGAAGTCAGAATTCTTGTGACCCAGAGTTATGCTCATAGATACTTTCTAGACTTAGAAGACAACTCTGAATTCCTCATATTCAGAGTTAAGTCTAGAGTTATTTTCCAGCCTAACAATAGAACTCTAAATTCTTATGTTTCAGAGTTAATGTTCAGAGTTTTCTGTTAGACCTGAAGAAAATGAAAAGTCTCAACTCATTTTCCTAATTTAAAATACCC